ATATGCATTCTGCTGAATTGCTTCTAGGCGCGGAGCCATTCCGTGGACGTGATGGGCACAGCGTTGTTGGGGCATCGCACAGCGGACAGATAGAAAACCAAGCTGTAGACGGCAGCGAGGATAAGCCAGGCCGGATGCGCGACTTTTTCACGGTGTATATTTCTTTGTTGGCTTGACCAGGCAGTGGGAAACGTGCGTGAGACTTGCCCTTTTCATCGAGGTGGAGCGACATTCAGGTGAACGAATATTGGCAATGAAGTACCGGAGGTTATTAGATCCGACCTGCTGGAGAAATGAGTACGTACAATGATTTTGATCGGGAGAGAGAGCAAAATTAGCGGCGGTGCTCGCCCTTTAGCCCCCATACTACATACTGTCGAGGAGCAGCCTTCAAAGTTTCGGCGGTGACTCAAGAGTGCGGGAGACCGGATCTATGTCGGCGCTGAGCAGAACAAAAGATCTTGATTATAGTTGTTGCTTGAGGTTCAGATGCTGAGACGACCAAAGCCCACACCCAGTGGCATACCGTGACAGCGAAATCTCGGAAATGTTGTTCAAGTGTGCAGGGATAGGGGTGGGAGTACACAATAGCCAAGGCAACCATCGAAAGAGAGCTTGAGCTTAGGCGTTCGTTAAGGCTGCTGCTGGCCCAGTACAGCCCAGTACTAGTTAGTGCACTAAGTGAAGGGTGACGCGTCCCATCCATCACCCGGAACATAAACCAAGTGATGACATCAGTTGCCGACTGATAGCCAGGTGGCACCGCAACTCTGGAAGCAGGGCCGATGATTCTGAAATTTCATGAGATCCGCGGTACAGGGATATTTACCGCTCAAACAAGTGAGTTTATTCAGTCCCACACATGAACAGTACTATCTCCCGCACCGCGCCGCCTCCGTGCATTACACTGAGTCAGAAGGATGTTCTACACTATTCTACAACCTGAGTATAAATAATTCTACAGAGTTCCGCGCAGCACAGGAATGCACTGGCGGCTTGCCCGAGATGGCATCAATTCCAACACTCCCCCTCAAGCCGGCAGTAATCCCATATCATGCGTGAACTTCTCATGCTTAATACGGGGTAAAGCCTTTGTGAAAATGTCAGCAAGCATTTCAGCTGTGGGACAATATTCAACATGAACTACACCGGTCTCAATCTTCTCGCAGACGAAGTGGTTCTCGATGTCGAAATGTTTCAAGTGCGCGTGATGTTGGGGATCATGTGCAATGGCTATGGCGGACTGGTTGTCGGAATAAATCAGAGTAGGTTCTTCAATCTCTCCGAATTTAAGGGCGTTGAATAAATATCGAAGCCAGATGGCTTGTCGAGCTGGTTGCGGCGGTTAGGGCCGAATATTCTGCTTCGGCCGTACTGAGTGCCACAGTGGGTTGTTTCTTGGAGTGCCATGCGATGGGTCCTCCTCCAAGCATATATACAAAAATAGGGGCTTTATCGGGATTGATCCCGCCGTAAGTGATCCGCAACTTACGCGTACCCTTCAGGTACCGGAAGATTCTCTTCATCGCCGTCCAGTGAACTGGACTGGGATTCACTGTATATGATCCAAGTCTTGCTACGGCGTACACTATATCTGTGCGACTAATCGTGGCTGGCCAAATCAATGATCCCATGTGCTCGGCGTAACCTTGTTCATCTGTCGTTTGGCCTTGGCTCTCGTATTTCTGGAGTACAACATTCGGATCCATCGGGGTTGTAACTGGTGACATATTTTCGTAGCCAAATCACTTTAGAACACTGTCAATATAGTGCTCCTGAGAAATCTGGATGGTCCGTTGATACGACACATATTTGCGCAGCCGTGAAATCATGCATTTTTGCATTTTCTAGTACGATTACTAGTACCTCTCGTCGGTGGTATGCAAGCAGACTTAGTGTGAGCCCGAGTGGCTAACTATTATATCGAAGATGTACGGAGAAGTCGGTCTAAAGATCTGTTACCACTTGGCTTTTCTATAACCATGGAGTCGGTATAACAATCTATAAAGACTAGGCTGTCTACCTACTAGATATCATACCAAGGGATAAACATATACAGTCCAGACGGACAACATACCAGTCCTAGGACTCAAAGATTGGGTCCTAGGGGTGCCAAAGTCACTCATAAAGTCTATAGATCCAGTCCTAGGACTCAAGATTGAGTCCTAGGGGTCGCATACGAGGGTTTTGGTATGCATAATCCAGTCCTAGGGGTCATATTCAAAGGTTCTGTACTAGGAAACTGAGTCCTAGGACTTGAAACCTGGGCTCTCTGGAGTCCTAGGGGTATAGAATCGGAGTGCTGCAGAGTCAATTAGACATTTGAACATGTAGACAACCTGCGAAGAGGCTGGATGTGTCGCGCGTCGGCTTACGACATCAAATCCCATCATATCTTCGGAGTTTCGGGTGGTGGCCCCACAAGCCGAGTCGAATCGTAAGACAGCGGCTGGGTGCTCAGAGCAGTTGATATCCCAGTTGGGGATATCGGATACAAGGATCAGCAGGATGGTTCCCTGCGCCAATAGGAACAGTTGGCGAAGGGCTTACGTTGAAAGCTGGCATCCTCGGTGATAAGCCGTGTAAACAAGTACACCTGAATTTGTGCATTTTGCATATTTCCAGGTGTCAAGCATGTGTGCTACATACCAAGAGGCTTTCGGGAGCTCCGAACGAGAAGCCTAATAGTCTAATAGCACTAGTGAATGAACCAGGAGGGCCTATAACAGTACCTTCACAAATGGGGCCAACATATGTCTTACCCGGGTAAGGAACTAGACCAATGTGGCAGAGAAACTAGGTTATATAAAGCCTAAGGCTGCTTGCAGGGACTCATACCAAGGAGATGGGAAGGAAACTATCATTATTGCACACAGGAAGAACCGAAGACTTTCATACAAAGATTGACTAGACCAAGATTGTCTGTGTTTGACACAAGAACCTACTGTGTTTGAATCACATGATGAGTTGGGCATACCGAGAGAAGGTTGGGATGCCAAGACGGACAGTGTCCAAGAATAGCCACCGGCATTACCGGTCTAGGCAACCCGCATCACTGCAGACATCACGATAATCCTTATCTGGATAAGAAGAACAAAACCTAAAAGCCAGACTAAAGATAGATGGGTTGAGCTAACCTACAACTATGGTGTACCGACAGTACCGTATTCAAGCTATGAAGGCAGGCTAGACGCAGAAGACCCTCTCGGGCTCGGGACATAGAGCCACAGACAAAGAAGACCTTATCCGGGCAAGCACCCGATGTCAAGATGGACCCTCCGACAGAGCAGATGGGAATCTCGTGCTACATCAAAGCACGCCATACTCAACTAATAAGAAACGAGTATCGCTGACGGATGACAGGAGCAGTGGGGAGTCAGCTTAGATATAGTAGTGTAATCCAGGCAGTGTAAGCAGGTTGGATTTAGTATAAGTAGGGGCAGGAAGTGCAAAACAGGAGCGCATATCCCTTGGAGGCAGGCACCAGAGTTGGTTGTCCTCGTTAGTTCCATTAGATTTGATTAGTTCGGGCTTAGCCCACAGAACTTAGCAACAGAATGGAATAGGGATTGGATAAAGAACCTTAAAAATATAAGCACTCGAGCACTGGGTTGAAAACCCTTTGAATAAGGCCGAAAGCCGAACATCAGTACTGAGTTGAAAGCTCTTTTAAAGGCCGAAAGCCACCAAAATCCAGAGCCAGCTGTCTCGTTGTTTCATACTGAGCTGAAAGCTGTTTTAAAGGCCGAAAGCCGCCCAGAATCTCTGATGTATAACCACAAACCTGTCTATTAGACACCCAAACCTGACCTTGTGTCATAAAACCTCTATTACTTTGTTCATTGTACCGCATTAGTCTTGAAATCAGACCAGAACTACCTAGACAAACCAGGAGATCCTTACCCGGCTAAGACACGTTGGCTGTTGAGTGATCAAAGCAAGCTGTCTACCAGTACAAGGGGAATTCGGTTAATGGTAGGTCGACGTCGGTACTTCTACTGGCTTGCCAAGGAGGGAGGGAGATGGGGAAAAAATTACTCAAAATGCTTTCAAAATTTTAAATCAAAGACCCGGCCCCGGATCGAACGGAGGCCTCCTGCTTTCAATTTCTTGCCGTTCCACCAATGCTGGCAGGCACACACCATGTGCTACTGAGTCTCCTTCTTCCCTTATACCTGACCAACTTCACCCTGAGACAGAGGTGGAACTGTGATCGAGACGACTACGGGAAAGTCCGGTGGTTCAACTTCTAGTAAGTGTAGACAGACCTGTGATTGAATGTTCACGGTCGCAGTACAATAAGCAAAGGGTTCGATATTTGACTTTCAGGGAATTGGGCGAAGCCGCAGGGGAGCGGAATTCAATTTCCTGATCATTTTCATACTAGGGAGAGACTAAGGGGACCAAAAAAAAAAGATTGCCTCATAGCTTCTATGACCCGGCCCCGGATCGAACGGGGGCCTCCCGCCAACATTTGTTCCTGCAACGTATACTCTACATAGTGTGCGGGTGCACGCCGTGTGCGACCGGATCCACTCCCTTACCTACAGTATGTATTCTTGATGCTCATTCTGTCTTGAGTCGTGAGTTGCATGTAGATCTAGACGCGACCGCGATTGAGACGAGATGTAACGAAAGCAACAGCACAGCAATACTGCGGGATGGTGGTTCGATTTCGGGGAACTCGGGCAGAGAAATCGGCCTGCGGGAGAGCAGCACTATTATATCTTTCATATAGCTTTCACGCGAGAGTGGGAAAAAGGAAGCATCACCAATTGGTTATGACCCGGCCCCGGATCGAACGGCCCCCCCCTGCATTTAATTTTATCAAGTCGAATAATCCATCCTTCAAATCCTTCTCAAATCCTTCTTTTTTCTTGGAAAACTTCTTGTACACCTCTATTCTACGCACCAAGATCAACCGGGACCTGAAAATACTAATAATCGAGTAGTAAACACGTGGTGCGCGATCGAAAAAAGTGCATAAAGCAGATCCAATATGACCCAGCCCCGGATCGAACGGGGGCCTACCGCCAATATTTATTGCACAGTACCAACGGTGGACGGGTGCACACCATGTGCTACCGGATCATTCTTAGCCCAATGTGTTCTTGATGTTCGTCCCGAATTCCTGTGTGCATGTGGACGAGACTGCGATTGAGATGACTAGGTTTATGATGTGGAAGTGTTGTGGTTCGATTTCGGGGTGCAGTCGGGGATCTCGGCTAGCGGGAGCGCAGCACCCATACTGTTGCAGGCTTTCAAATTTGAGTGAGAGAGGGGGAAAAAAGTCCAGACTTTTTATTGACCCAGCCCCGAATCGAACGGAGTTCTCCCGCTAACCTTCGTTGCGCGACAAGGACGGTGGGCAGACGCACACCATGTGCTACCAGGTCTCATCCCTTACCCGTTATATTCTTGATTTTCATTCCGAGTTCGTGATATGCATGCATGTGGACGCGACTGCGATGTCGAGACGTCTAGGTTTATGACGGGGAAGTTGGGTGGTTCGATTCCCGCAATCCAAAAATTGGGTGAGGGGTAGGGCAGCATCCGATGTCTCTTTATGTCTCTTTATTTCTTGCCTTCATACGAGAGAGGCACCGGAGAGAGGACCAAGTGGCAAAAACTCGATGCGAAACATATGCCGACCCGGCCCCGGATCGAACGGGGTCCTCCCGCCAACATTTGTCCGCCGCAAGAAACGGTGTGCGGGTGCACTCCATGTGCTACCGGGTCTCCTCCCTCTTATACTTGACCAATTTCAATCTTGTTCCTGTGTGTGTGGATGAACTTATGCACGGGGGCAGCGCAATGAGGAAGGTTCGGTGGATCATTCCGCGCTTACCTAGGAAATCCGAGTGGGATATTTGCTGTTCGGAAAACTGGAGAAAGCCGAAGGGGAGCGGACTGCAAGGTCTTTATCATTTTTCATCCGATAGAGAGAGGACCAAATAAATTCCTGTTCCTCTCTCTCTATGACCCGGCCCCGGATCGAACGGGGTCCTCCCGCCAACAGCTATTTCCCACATGTATACTACACACACGCACGGTGGGCGCAGCGGCACTCCATGTGCTTTTTTTTTTTTTTTTCTTTTTTTTTTTTTTTTTTGGAGCGTTTGGGATAATGACGTTTAGTCTGCAGAAGCATTCCAAAGTCATCCGCTGGGTCTACCAGAAAATTCTAGTTAATGCCGGGGAAGTTGTCCAGGGAGGAAATGCCATTACGCACAATTACCATAGTGTGGGACTCCAGCCTCCATAAAATTATCCTATCCCATTTTTTAAATCTTCCAATGTCAATGGCTGTATACCCACTAAAACCCCCACTGTGTATGTCCAGTCATCCGGCAGCAAGTCTTCATTCATTAGTAGACCACTCCATGTTCTTAGGACAAGATCCTTATTCAGCGCAAGATTATTGAACTTCATTTTATTGGTGAGGATTCGATCTCGTCCTAGTGCGGAATTAACAGATTTCAGCCATTTATTGTGCACCTCAACATCTGTTATCTTTCGGTCTGGATTCTTTAAAACTTTGTCATTGCGAATATTCCAGATTGTGTGCCATGCAGTGGATACCAGAATGGCAAATAATCTTCCCATCTCAGGGATAATTTTGCCTTTTGAGCCTTTGAACTTAACAAGATTACAACCCAATATAAGCCCCCAGCTGAGGGGAGGCCACGTAGGATATTTCATGTGCCAGAGTTTTTGGGTCAATTTCCAAATTAATTTTGCGCCAGAGGCCTCACATTCCATTGCTATGTGTTCCAGGTTTTCAGGGACACCACAGGTTTTGCAGACTGCCATCATTTCAAGATTATCAATATGTGTCCAGAAGTCACCAACTCTGAAAATATTGTGAATTGACTTCCAGAATAATTCACGGTGAAGTCGCCTTAAATTGATAGAACATATAGATTTCCAAATCATTTCATCTGTTGGGGTATAGTCAGAAATTTCATAAACAGAGCACCTGATGCGGTCTAGATTGATGTATGTTGACTTCCTCAGTGGTTCTGGGCGGCTACCCTTGATGATTTTTGTAAAGATTCGCTGAGAGCCTTGTGAGATTAACATTCCAGGGCTACTGAACATTACGTCGATTTGGGTATCAACCTCCAGTGAAGGGCATTCATTGATCCCTAAGGTAACAGGTAAAATATCTTTTGTTTGCTTGAACTGTGTCCACGCAACTCGCTCATTCAGAGCTGCAAACACTGCCTTGAACAGTAGGAAGCTTGGGTCCAATACATCATTTTCAGATTTTGTTTGCTCCTTAATAAGTGTTTTGAGCAAAAAGTCAGATGAAGAACAAAGCAGTAGGGGAGCATTATTTGGGATTTTTTGCAACAAGGTGAGGGCAGCACCCAGGATTCCCGATTTGAAGGTCATTTTTATGGCGGGATTGTCAAATGTGAGGCACATAGTTTCATCCTCCTCTAGGTCAGTTGAAACAATTCTCAATCTAGCCAAGATTTGAGGGTCATACTGACCAGCACGCAAAACCTTGATATGCACAAAGGCTGTTATAAGCTCTGGGGGTGGGACTAACCTGCCTTGTCGTCTTGCAGAGATCTCATTCATTGAATCATCTGCAGCAAATATGCGGAAGCCATTTTTGACATCTCGCAATCTGAAGTTTGGATCATAAGTCATTGGCCTGTCAATTTCAATCTCTTGCCGGTTAGCATCTATCTCCTCTGCTGTTAACTCAAGCTCATCACAGAGGTCTACCATTGGCACAAGTGGATTCCATTTAGGCATAATAGAGTCTATTAGCAATTTAGCAGTCTCAATGCACTTGCCAGGGTTAAGGCAACCCAGTTCATTTCGATCTTTGTTGCAAGGTGGGCATCCGCAATTTTTCCGGCCAATGCCACTAGGATTGATAGTATGTGGTCGTCCTGCCATCATAGTTCTTCTCGTGGCGATTACAAGGGCATCTTTAACATTTCGAACTCCATGTTGGTTTCTGAGGCAGGTTGCGGCATCTCGAAGGCAGACATTTTTGTAATTTGGATAGCGGACAGCAGGATGCTTCCATATCGGCATCTCAAGTTGCACATTATGGTCAATTGAGAGAGCTGTAAATTTAAGGTTGAACTCTTGGGCTACAGAGATCATACCCTTAAGGTCATCAGGTATTGCATTTGACCTGGGGATGGGGAAATGTATTTTGTTTAAGAATATGTTGATGATTTGACCAGGCCTCACATTTAGGTAGCTGGTCTCCAAATATTTTGTGAGTATGTAGTCAACAAAATAGCACCATAGTGGACGATCCTCTCCTTGCTTAAGATAGCATTGAAGATTCCAAAGATTAATAGCTTTATTTCGAACAGAGATATCTAAAATTCCTTTGCCTCCTCGGTCAACAGGGAGGATCATTGTCTCGAGAGACACTCTGGCCGTCTTTCCATCCCACAGGAAGGACCGTATGAGTTTTTCAAGCGTTTCTTCGATTTCCTTTGGCATTCCTTGGACTCTCGTCAGATATTGTGTCCGACCTCCAATTACCATGCTAATGATATGCCGTTTCCCCTCAAGTGTTGGGAGTGTTGTTTGCCAGCGCATGATATCTGTACTAATTTTCTCCAATACGGATGGCCATGGTGTAGTATAAGGAATTTTGTTTCCAATCCATGCCCCTAGCATACGGCAGCTCTCGCCATCAGGGACAATTCTAATAGTTTTGTTGATCACGCCAAGTGGGCATTGATCATTGATTCGTCTTTCTGTTATGACTTTCTGACGATATGAGGGCCTACCAAAGGGCAGAAGTATTGTTTTGTGCTCATTGAATTTTGCAGTTGATGCAGCACACCAGAGGCGTAGAATACCCCAGAGAGTTTCCATGGAATCAGTGGATTTGAGGTAAATTGTTGTGTCATCAGCAAAGAGTGATACCACCAGATTCTTGTTCGTTCCGGGAATGATTACTCCTTTAATATTAGATTTTCGGAGCAGGCATGCAAGAGGCTCAATAGCCAGATTGAATAATAAACAGGACAGGGGATCTCCCTGTCTTACACCCCTTGTAACAGTATATGGATCACTGAGTTCACCGTTAATCATAACAATGGTTTTGGCATCAGTGTACAGACTTTTGATTGTCTTTGAAAATTTGGGAGGGAAGCGCATATGATCTAGGACCCGCAGGAGGTAATCATGGTTAATTCGGTCATATGCCTTTTCTTGGTCAAGGGCAATAAGGATCCCATCTTCTTCTGCCACTTCGGAATAGTTCAGCAAGAATTTAGCTAATTTGACCTGGTCTTCAATTTTACGCCCTTTCATGAAACCAGCTTGGTCTGGCCTTATCAAAGAGGGGGCAACATCCATTAATCGCATAGAGTAAGCCTTTGTCATAAGTTTATAGTCTGTATTCAATAATGTAATTGGTCTGTAGTTGCTGATGAGACCCGTGTCTCCCTTTTTGTACGTGGGGCATAACCATCCCATGTTAAAGTTACAACCATCTGCTATTCCACATTGTTCGATGTCCCGGTACAAGTCTGCTAGGAAGCCCATGATGTTGAAAGCTCCTGGTTTGTCTTTAGTTTTTTTGTATTTAATGTCCATGGCTTTGAAAAATTCATATCGTATACCATCGATTCCTGGGGCTTTGCCATTACTAGTTAGTTTCAAAGCCTTTCGTATATCCTCTTCAGTCAGATACTCATCCATTTCATTGTATTCATCTTGAGATAACTGTGCATCGCATTTTTCAAGCACTTCCTCAGTGCACATCATTCGACCATAGTCATCCTCTGAGACATCAACATGTTGAGTAGCCTCATGGTAATCACGGGCCATTTCTGCCATTTGTTTTGGTCGAGTTTCAAAGCAGGGTACAGTCACATCATCATCTGTTCTCTTGAATTCGTTTATGGTGTTCCTCAGATGATACTCTTTGGTGGATCGAGTCCAGTAGCCAGTTTTCAGAGTTTCACCCTCAATGTCATATCGGGCTTCGGACTGGGCTTTCTTACGGTCAGCTTCTTCTTTAAGATAAGTTTCAATCTTTCCCTCTAAGTGTAAAATTGCGAGATGCTTTTCTTCAGTAGGCATGTCTGCATCATTGATAATGAGGTGTTTCTGCACTGTCCAAGTACGTATTTGGCGTGATCTTTCACTGACTAAGCGGGAGCATTTTTTACCTTCAGCGGTAAGGTCCTCCTTGTACTTGTGCCATAGAGTTTGGATGTTGAGCGTGTTTTTCCGTCCAGTTCGCTCTAGCTCTTCCCGTTCTTCAGCAAGTCTATTTGATCGGGTGCAAATGTAAGTCATAAATTTCGGAGTTTTCAGCAGATATAAGGGCAGGTTCCAAATTCCTGGTCCATGCTTCTCATCTGGTCGCCAGGTCAATTGGACAGAAATTAAATGGTGGTCACTGGCGATCAAACTGGGTTCAATGGACCAATTTCGATACCGTGTAAAACGGTCTACTGGGACATAGATTCGGTCAAGGCGTGAGCCTGATATATGTGTTTCATTTGTAATTGTATTTGTGCGCTTCTGGAAGCAAGTGTATTCATTTGCATCAGGAAATGTTGTACGCCAACCATCTTGCATGCGGAAGAGGGCTTTCAGGCATAAGAAGCTCAGAGGTACTGGCTCTTCCTTGTTTGATGTACGATCTTTAATATTTTCAACAAAATTCCAGTCACCCAATGTTTCAGTTGGGAATGGAAGTTCTGGATTATTTAAGTAACAATACCACAATTGAGCCC